ATGTATTTTCATTGTTACAAATGGAACATCATGAAAGCATAGTGATTCATCACAGAACAGTATGCAGTTATAGACTGTGAAATATTTATGTGTTTTCCGATGGTCTTAAGCAATCCGTGTGAAAGGGTCGTTCGACCCCCCAAGGAGGCTTGACCCACAGGTTAAGAACCGCTGCTCTACACCTTCAGTGCACCGGCTCCCTGAGGATGGCCAGCCTGGACTTCACAGGCATGTGGGTGGCAGTATTAAAGTCTTCTCGATTCCTCTTGCTGCAGAAATGAAACAGGCATCTGAGCAATGGCAATGACCTAGAGGAGCGAGAGTGTGTCCGTACGAGATTGGCACTCTCATGGGCCCTGACTGGGAAGTTTGCTTTCCCAGTGTGTGTTGGGGAAGGTCCGGTGACACTTTCCAGGGGTGACGGCCTTGCAGGTTTGGGTCTCTGGTCTGTTTTAAGTGGACTTCTTTCCTGAAGGTGCCGTCACCTCCTCTTTCCTTCTTACCTTGATCGCAGTGGGCACTGTGATTTGGAACCTGTGGGAGGGGTTCCCTTCGGCCACCAGGCGGACCCTGACCAGTTGGAGAGCTGAGTCAGATGGAGGAGGGGGGCCCTGGGCTGCACCATCTGCTCAGTGGAAAGCTAACGTTGTGCTTCCTTCCTCCTAGACTGAATGATATCCTGAACAATTTGAGATTAAAATACACCAAGCAGATCAGGCAGTTTCAGGAGGAGAACCATTCCCTCACCTCAGACTACAAACGCCTTGTGATACAATTTAAGGAGCTACAGAGAGCCATGAGGTATTTTAGGGGTGTGGGCCCTAAAACTGAGGGTGGTGGTGTCAAGATTGGTGGTGGCAGTGATCTTGTCAGACGGGATGCCACCAGTCAGAGCTCGATGGCAGGACACTGCCTGACCTTTGGTGCGATAGCCCCCCATCCCTTTCTTCACGTCACCTGCTTTTTCTTGAGACTCGGGGTCGCGCCCCGTTGACTATAGGTCGGAATCGGTGGCCCAGGGGTGGCGGAGGTGTCGGAGTCTCCACAGTTCTTCCTCGTGTTCTTGTCCTATGGTCAATTGAAGAGACGCCATCCAGACCCTGAGGGTCAGCTGGCCAAGCCCCACGCCTCTCCTTCGCAGGCGTTTTGCTATTACTGATGATGAGAAGTTTCGGGAGATTTGGCTGATGAACGAAGAGGAGGCAAAGGGACTGATAGGCATCGCCTTAGATGTAGACAAAATCATCTACACCCATCATCTGGGACTCCCCTGGACAGCCCCTGACCTCTGGTTCCTGAAAAACAAAGGACCGATTTCCCAGCAGTTAAAGAAATCGGCCACAGAAATAGTAGAAGAGGTGCTGATGCAAACAGGTGACTACTGGGGAGGTTGGGGGGAAGCTGTGAGAGCTGAGGGTCTGTCATTTCATGCACAGGTAGACTGGCTTCTAGAGATTGGGGGCGGGGGAGAGGACTCAGAGGACAGAAGTCCACAGCATGTGATGGGTTAATATGACAGCTGAATCGTTCCTAATGGATATCTTTGCCTTCCACCCGGTTCTTCTCCTTATCTTTTATTTGCCACAGAAATTGGGTGGTT